GTCCTACAATCTGACACTACTCTTCGAAATCTGTATTTCTTCATACAAGATGAACACAACCCTACTTCTTCCAACTCTGCCAACAGGAATGCTCAGTCAGTGACCGTTCTTTTCACCAAAGCCTCAGAAAAGATCTGATTTCTTTTCTCTTCCAGAAAAGCCAGTTTATCACTCCAGAAACAGACTTTCAACTGTATTCAAAACAGTTCTGAGGTATAACCTGATCACATCGTGCTGTTTCAAACAGCAGAAGTTCTACCAGCGCTGAATTTCTGGCTGTTTGATAGCCAAGAATTGCATTTACCTTTATATGTTTCAAAAATACATCTGAAATATTTCTTTATAGACAGAAGAATATGCTTATGTCATCAAAACTCTCCCTTTCTTGCTTCTCTCCACATCTTAACAACCACTCCAGGGCCCACCACAGTCTTACAGTCGAGCAAGTTTTGTACCACACCAGTAGTTCTTCCGCAGTGATACATTTCTGCCACTCCAAATTCTTTTGCTGCTGCATCCATTTCCCTTCTATAAGTCCTAGAAACTTTTCTTTAAACTCTCCACTGTGACTGGAAGCTAAAATAAGGTATCAATTCTAGTTATTCCTCTTAACCCTTCCAGAGTAGTACCTCAAAAAGGAATAAATAGCCTCCTAAATTTCTATGGGTCTTATTAACAGAGAAATGCCTGAAAGTCTGTAGATAAGAAAAGGATGAAAATAACTCGGGTCAGTGCTAATTGTAATAATAAAGTTGCTAAAGTTAAACAATTAAACACGGGTTTTTTTTCTTATTTAATAAATAATATAAAAAAGTGAACTTTTGTTACATTATTGGAAGAAAAAAAAAAAAAAAAACAGCTTCTTATCTAACTCCAGCAATTATACAAGCCATAACGAAACAGACTCAGATTTGGAAGCCAGCTTTTTTGGTGGCCATTCCATATCCCGTTTAAGTGGAGTCCAGTGTGCACAGCCTCACAACTACTGATGACTTTTCCACTCCTGGGCTTGGTCTTCTTTATGTCGTTCTGGTTCCACAGATGACCTCACTGTTCATTTGCAACAAGAAACCCCGAAACAAAGACACTCTTTAGTTAAAATTGAAAAAAAAAAAAGCCCACAAAAACGTGGCAAAGATTCAACAGGTGATCAATCGTAATTACTTTGACGGAATCATCGTACAGATGTTCAGTTCGGTTTGTCACATCAACAGTAACATGGCATTGTATCTTTAGCCTTGTAGAAAAAATGCAGCCTGATATTATATGCACATATACACACACAGTACACTTGACAAAAAACACTTACGTGGTTTACATTTCACTTTTATTTAATCCTCAAAACTGCCCATATTGCAGGGTTTGTTTTTTTTTCTTGATGAAATATGGAACTGAGCAGTTAACTCTACAAAATTATAGTAAAAACTTGCTCATTTTTTCTACCTTATTGCTAAGAAACTTTACAGGTGCACAGTTTGTAAAAATAACCCTTTTAAGACTGAATGTATATACATGCTACAGGATTATTATTATTTTTTTTAATGATATTAGCATAGCACCTCCATACGGGGCGAATGCAACATTGAACACAGAACATTTACAAAGATAGAACAGCTCCTTTATAACCTCTAAAGGAAAGAAATAGTTCAGTCTTAAAAGGGTTAAATAGAAACCCTAATATAATTCTTCTAACAAAGCTGCCACTCAATCCCACAGTACAGTGCTTGAAAACAAAGTCAAAAGTCTGGCACAGGCAAGTACACACATTTGTTCAGTACTCATAAACACAGCTGCTTTTGAAATAAAGTAAATAATATGGTTAATAATTGAAGAGCATCTAGTTTCAGGATGGACACCTCTACGGAGTCATTTAATCTACGAGTGGGCAGTTTACTTCCCATAGATATTTTGTTTTACTTGGCGTTAATATTTTGTATACGGGAATTCACAGATTTACAACTTAAGTTCACATCTTTTCATGTAACCATTCTGATCTCACAAGTCTGTGCAATGAAAAGAAGTACAGAATAGAATTACTAACATGATCGTGGGATGCCCTCAGGGCAAATAATTAGGAAAGAACAACAGCAGCAGCAGGTTATTAAAGACTATGCTAGTGTTGAATTCTGAAATGCAGTTCCAAACAAAAGAAAACAAGAAAAGGCAGAGCTAAATCTGAGCACTTAATTTGCTTTTTCATCCTACAGTTGGAACTATAACAACATTCTGAACACAGACTCAGTTTCTATGTATACAGAATTAACAGCAGACTTCACAGCTAGACTTGAACAATTATAATTGTTTCATACTGAAACATTCTAAAAGTAGTTGTATCAAAACGTTGAGATATTGTGAATATCATGAAAATTGGTTAAAAGCTCACAAGGCCAATAAATGTAACAGTAACACCTCAAACAGGAAAAAGTTCAGGAGGATTATATGTCTGAACAACAGGACATCTGAACAACAGTAAGGACTTGGAAGACCATTTCTGTACTACAAAGTAACTACTGGCAAAAACAGTGCCACAAGCCCAAAGGAAAAATGGGGTTTTAAATGGTCTTGTAAGCACAACTTAGTAATCTGTTTTTCACCCAGACAGCTGTAGTGTGTAGAACAGCAGAAATAAGGCTAGGTCATTAGGTTCTTTACAAGTCAAGGAATATACCTATTGGGCAAAATTATTGCAACTAAACTGAATATAAAAAGTATTGCATTTACATGTAGAAATTTTCAAACAATGAGTACAAAAGCAGGTGTCAAGTTCTGAAACGCTGTTTAAAGTATCCTCTGAAGGTCAAAAGACTCACTATGGTTTGCCTATTGTGTGTATATCGTGGTTTGTTCTTGGATACCCTTCTGAATTCAATATATGCACCACTTCAACTCTCAGTCTAATTAGCGATGAAAATCTGTGGCTTCTGAATTAAACAGTGCTGTAAGATACTTATGTGCTTCAAACGAAAACACTGTGAAATGATTCCTGCCACAACAAGACCAACATGAAGCTTTATAACATATACACAAGTAAACAGATCTGCAAGTAAATGCCAGTAAACAGTTCAAAACAGAGATAAGGCCACAATGAATTCTGCCCTTGGTCACTGAAACAGAGATGAGGTGAGGCAGTATCCACCAGTGCTAAGGACCAGCATTGTGACTATGTCATGGGAGTCTGTTTCATAATACAGCAGAGCAAATATGAAGGCCTGTGGTAGGATACAAGCACGTTTCAGAAGGACAGTGGCACTGATTTAAACTATCAGCTAAATATGTTTTACAACCAATTTCCTCTTTTAACCACACTGTTCTCACAGTGGAGCACTAAAACAAACAGGTAAAATGGAGCGTCGGAGTACACAAACATGGTGCAGTGAAAATGCTTTAAAATGTTGGTGGGTGTTGGAACTGGAGTAAGTGGTCAGAAATAAAAACCCTATGAAAATGGTCAACAGGTAAGCTTGAAAGCAACGCAGTGTAGGAAGCCACAGGTTCACATTTACACAGCAGTTGTGGCTCATGCTTCAGGGAATAAAAAAGGCTGAACACACCATAAAATTCATATTTTGGCATTTCAAGATCACGCTATCAGAACTTGTCCTACGATTCTATGCCTAGTTCTGTGACTATGAATGAACTAGTGGGATATATTTTCAATTACAGACGAAACAGGCAGGTCTGCAAGGAGAGCTAAAACACAGCAAAGTCAAAATGAAAAACAAACACAACAACCAACAAAGTCAAAGTGCAAATGAGCCTTAAATTTATGATGGAGAGAAGACTTGAATGTTGCACAAGCTGTTGGCAGGGAAAGAGAAACCCATAGGAAATAAGGATGGGAGGAGTTGACATCTTCATAGTGCTTTTATGATTTTCTATTTGCCCATTCCTAAGTAATAAAATTTACTTTAGTTATTATGGTATGATCACCTCACAATGAAAGCACGTTCTCAGTACAAGTGTTACACTTAAGTTTGGCCTAATTTACCAAACACTATGAAGAAAAACATGCTTGTTGTGACTCTTAGCCATCAAGGGCATCACCTACCAATCCTATTTGTAGCATATACTTCTCATGGTATTTTAGTTACATGCCAACAAGACAGAAGACATGCTGCCAAATGAAGTTATTGGGAACATTCCACTTTTGAAATAAAACATTTAACTTACACTTAATACAAATTATGTACAAGAATAGAAAAACCTGAACAGATTCTGAAACATTTTCAGATGCAATATGACTGTGAAAGAAAGAGGGAGAGTAACCCAGTAACAACCCTTCAAAAACACCAACGTATGCCTGTGACATGAACAATCATTAACATGACTGCATGAGATGTCACCTTTAAAAAAACAAAACTCATGTAATGTTAGAACCTCATGAATTATCACTATAAATATATATTTAAAAAAAAGGAAAACAGAAATAACTATTAACAATGACTGAAAACAGAGCACTAAAGTTAACATACATTGCATGTATTGCAGGCAAGGCAGAGGCATTTTTTAAAGCTTTTGCACAGACTTCATATAATCTTAAAAAAAATATGCTGGCCTTTACAAGGTTCTACTTGCTGAAATAAAAACAATTTCAGTTCATAAAAAGTCACAAGACTTCAGTTTAAAAAAAGGAACAGTTCCAGCCACAGACCAAAAATATATATACTTTTTTTTAAAACTGGAAGAGTATGGTAATTAGATTATACAAGCATGGTCAGGCTTGGAACCTGAATATACTTCGGAGCAAAAGCTCAGAGAACAAAAAATATAAACTATTTGGTAACAAAAGTGTACTATATGTTGTGATACAAAAAAGGTATGGTGAAAATGTACCTTTTATACTAAAGCTTATACAAGTTCCTTGGTCCATAAAAACTATGTTGTGTTCATGTTTTCTAGTTTGCTCAACATGTATCCCAGCCACATTTTTATTTCTTGCCCATTTAAAAAAAAAAACAGCTGAAAAATAGATTTTCAATAAAGTTCTTATGTTTTGGATGTTTGTTTGTTTTTTTTTTTTATTGTGGCTTCTATATTTAAGATTAGCACTTGCAGGTAACCAGGTTCGAAATACCATCATCTAAAATGGAAAGGTGTTTTCCCATGAAACCACAAAAATTGTTCAGTTCTCTTGAACGTAGCACTTAAAAGTCAGTTAGAGTCCAAACAAACAACGGTAGTTAGGAAACTACAGTTGCTGTAGATGATGTGACGTTGGTTGGATTTGTGCTGACATTTGTGTAACTTCCCTCGCTGTTTGCATTTGTTTCACTGGAAGCCATGAGGCTTGAGTTGGCTCTGAGGATTGCTCCAGCAGCACTGCAGTGTGGTCGTGGCCCTGGTTCTGGTGTGTATGTAAAGGTAAGGCTGGTGGAGTAAATTATGCCATCGTTACGGACCAAAGTTACTGGAACTTGGACTGGTTGACGGACCCACCTCCAACCCTCTCGAAATGCAGAAATATCTGGAACAACACATAGCATGCTCTCTGCACATCTGAAAAACAGGAGAGTCAACTTAGTAAACAAAACTTAACCTTAAAGAATGAGCATACACTATGAAAAACATCCCATACAAGTAGTAGGAAACACCATACCTGTACATAGTTTCAGCTTCCACATCGCCAAACCAGACACGTAAATTTGGAGTGAAATTCTGTCCTGTAAGTTCCAACATTGCTACATCCCCGCCGCCATTCAACTGGATGAGGGGACGAGGACAATAGAAGAAAACCCACAAAAAAGAAACACTTTAATTAAGAAGAAAAATACCCTAGAAAAATTCTTTTTAGTGCACATATGAACTGTAAAATGTGCTACTGGTATCAGTTGGATGAAACAAAAATAAACAGACCTACATAAGTGAACTGTAAAAAAGTAAACTCAAAAAGATATTACCAAACAAAGAACAACATCTTCCAGAGAACACTAGGAGAGCTTTAAGTTATTCAACAGCAGATAGCACATTTTCTTAACACAGTTTCAGCCTCATAATGTTTGATGAGTAAATGGCTGTTTCAAGAGTCAAAATGCTTTTCTAAATAACCAAAAGGGAAGTGAAAGTCCTAAAGATATCACCACCATAGTATTCTAAAAAATAAAATTCTTAATGTATAGAGTAATATTATTATTATTCATGTGACCAATATTAATAGTATTCATGTGATACACATTCTGAAATGCAGCTGAACAAAATCATTGCAATGTAGTTATCTTATATAAAGCTGATAGGAATCTTCTCCTACAGTAGCCCACAATAGCACTATAACATTTGAATCACTATGATAAGAATAATCTCATATGAAAGAGTTTATGAAAATAAACAAACAAATACATCACTTACTTGAAGACTTTCTACAACAGGCACAGGTGTCACTGGAGCATGGACAGGTCCCATCCCCTCATAAAATGTGTACTCTGCTTTATCTGTGCTAATGATTGTCCAAGAAGCTCCATCATTAATCATTTCTTTATTTGGTTCTTTTGGGCATGGAGTGGCCTTAAAAAGAAAGTAAGTTTGAAGTCTGATCTGTAGAACTGTTTGACAGACGGAGAGCTAAAAAGCATCTCAGTCAGTAACAATATCTATTATTTTCATCATATGTTTCTCCATCTTTAACCTCCAACAGAAAGCAGCGAATATTTCTCATGTTATGAATTATACCTGGCCAAGCACCAAGCACTTATTTAAGAACAAGAACTTGTTCTTTATCTACAAAAAGATAAAAAAAACAAGCTAATATTCCAATGTTTGTTCAAAGACATGGAAGAAGCCAAAATGAAGACCCTGACAATAAGCTAGAAACTTCTGCTATCTCTTTGTAAATCACGTAGCATCAGTTTTACATCTTTGTGTACTGTTTCTTTTATGGCAGCAAAAGCCCACTCTGAACAATTCCATTATTTTGCAATACAAAAGTTGTGCACAGGTTAATCACAGACAGAAAAAAAAAAACAGACGAGAAAACTTTTAATAGCTAAATTCTGCTTGCTTACATAAAGTTTTAGGGGCATCTTGATATACAACCATCCATCCAATCAATTATATTACTTTACTCTCAAAAAAACATTAGATAAACTTCACAAATCTAACACAAATTGGCTAGTTGAAATGAAGTCAGGACCAAAGCTGAATTCAGGCAGACTCTTCATTCTGATATGATCAGATTAAAAACTTCTACTATAAAATAGCTTGCAAGACAGATAGCACAGTGAGGACAGTAACCACTGACCTTTCCCTGCTTAATACCCAACCGATATTTTTATTAGAAGCATATGAAATGTAAAAATTACTAGCCCAACTTCAAAAGAGAAACTGTTGTATACTATTTTGACAAAGGACATTTTCCTGCTGGCTTGAGTGGACAGACATGCTTTAACTCCTACCAACAAAAACACAGATATCAGAAGTGAACAAGATCCTTGGCTAGCTCCATCGTTTCTGCTAAACACCTGATTTGAAGTAGAAAGAAAATGCCACAGATGGGGTTAAGGCAATGGCACAGGCTGGCCAGAGAAACTGTGGATGTCCCATTCCTGGAGGGGTTCAAGGTCAGGAAGAAATGGGGCCCTGGGCAACCTGATCTTTTAGTGGCAACTGAGCACACAGCACAAGGGTTGGAACTAGATGATCTTTAAGGTCCCTTCCAACTCAAAACATTCTATGAATCTATGACTTCATAAAATGACCAGGTCTGCCTGTTTCTATAAACAGCATCTACTAATGCTGCTCTTAGACAATGACTACGCTCTGATCAAGCATGGCATTATTTACAATCCTTTCTGTAGCCTGCAGATATGAGTCTTTGAAAAGAGATCTGACTGGTACACTCCAGTAAACAATCTCAGCTCTTTTTTAGTAGTTCATGCTGAACTGCTGGCTTAATATACCCCTTCTGCTTTAAGTCTTCTATTTCTTTATACAGGGATGTTTTCATTCACTCATGAAAGAATTGTGGTTTTTCACTCATGAACAAGTGGCTCTTCTTCCACAAAGTGAGCACAGACTGGCTAGACACCTACTTCAGAAACTAGATTCAGCGATCAATATTCAGTGAAAGATGGCACATGTGCTTTCTTCCCCAGTCTTTGTCTTCTGGTCCAAGAGAAGAAACAGATAAAATGAGATGTCTTTCCTGACACTGGCAGCAAGATTTTATATATATTTTTTTATATTTTGTCATGATTCCAGTTACCAAAAAGTGATTACAGTCTGATGTGCACGTTAACAGATTTTATTCAACAAGCAGAATAAAAAAAGAGTGGAGTGTCCTTTCATCCTTCCACATGGAAAGTTTGGATCTCTTTTCAGACTGGGCTCCGCAAGTATCATGATACTAAAGAGTGTTAGTATGCCCCTGCAGTTCCACAGCCATTTCCAGCAGCTGTCAGAGTAGCACGAATTCCTTGTTCATTCAGCCTTCCCACAAAGCAGTTAGAAAAAGATCAAACAACAGCAAGGCTGACTCTGAGACAATGCAATTCCTGTTTCATTGCTCTCTTTTCTTCCTGGCAAAGATCCATTCTGCTTTACAAGAAAATACATTGATAGATATCTCTGCTATCTCCTAGTGGAAGAAATGACAGGCCTTGTCCACTTCTGACCTTTAGGTTACGAATGCTTCCTGAAATACTAACAAAGCTTCTTGTATTCTATCCTAAATTGTGATAGTGGAAAGAAGTTACCTGAGACTTTACCAATCTTTCTTGCCTCCTCCCTTAAAAATGCTAGCTTTCCACTTCCCTGTTTCTACCTTTATTCCTCTGGAAACCAGAACTGTTCTAAGAAATTCCTGATCTTTTGTTGCCTTTCTTGGAATACAGTATTCTCTCTCAATACCCTTTACTATTTGAGCAGCCCTGGATTTTTAAAGAGATCTCTCAGTTGAGATTAAATCTGATTACCACTCCTGCTATTGTCTGGAATTACCACAGTAGAAGTCTGCTAAAAGCACACTAACACACACAAGACTAAAGCAGCCTGCTGGTATATTAAGAGACGTCAAAGCAAAATGCAAGCTATTATTTTTTTAGGCAGCTATTTCTTCGGGTTGTTTCCCATAAAAGTAACTCACTGGGGATAGTTTTTTCCACCTATGAAGAAAAATTACTGAAGACAAATTAGCACATTATTTATTGACAAATCAAATTTCTGCAGCTTTAGTCTACTATTTACACTTAGCCAAGAGGAAGACAATTCAACACTGCTAAGTGCATCATGAAAGGCTATAATGAATTCTATTTGCTGATTTTTCAAAAGAAATATTCTCATTCAAAACCAACTACAAAACTGGCATTCATCTATATTTGTAAATATTTGGGAAAAGTCTGCAACCATGCTTTTCATCTATCAAAATAAGTTAAACAACTCACTTGAAATTGGATTATTCTCTCCTGGGAAAGGCACAAATACATTCTCTCAGTGTCTTTAAGGTAAAATGCACATTTATGGAGCTGTGATACTGGATCATCTGCATCCAATAATGCTGTTTGCTTATCTACTTTTCGAATGATCTGTGAATGAAAGTTGTATGCACATTTAGGACAATTTCTGTACCTCATTACATTGAAGATTACACTGAAAATTATGCATGTAATGTTAAGTAGAGGAAGTGAACAATCATAATTTTCAAGTTTCCAAGCCTCCTGTGTTAATAACATCAAATTCATAATTTCTAATAATTTTTCATCAAGAACACAATATTCCAGTTGCAATCAGTACTACTCCCTCAAAATGCAGTATGCGTATATATTTCACCTTTTTCCTCATTCCAACAGCAAGAAAAAAGAAGTCTGAGATTCAGCAAAATCTACTTTTGGTTTGTTTCTTGACAATGAAAGAAAAGTAGGTCAACTATCAGTAGTCTTCTACAGAAGCACATGCTTCCAACACTGATAGTATCGATTAACATTCTATGGCAGACTGGCTGCTGAACCAAACCAGTTGAGAAATAAGGATCTACTCTAGATGTATTGAGATGGCCTTAAACATAATACTGCAAATACAACAATCACTGGTTATCTTAACAGTTTCCTTTAAGTAACATTTAAATGACCAACTGAAAAGAACAATTGTTACTGGCACAAAAAAAATGTTGACTTAGTTCAGAGTATTATTTTATTTTTAAAAATTCAATTATTCCCTTACAGGCGGTGGAAATATGTTGGAATACTGGAATTTTATCTCAACTTCTAGAAAAAGTTTAATATTTCATGTTATAAAACATCAGCAGAAGCAACAGCCATAGTGTTCAAAGATTTCTTAGCTAACTATCTTCTAGCTTCAAATCAGGAGAATACTTTTAAATCGAGGCTGAAGTCAAAAAAAAAAATTGTCCTACTGGTCGCAAAGCCTTGAAGTATTGATATTGAATAATGAATAAAGTATTTTGCTACAGTGGGACCTACATCACTGTTTTTTAAAAAGACCTACTTTTTTTTTAATGACAGCTTGCAGATTAACCTACTTAGGTAGGTTTGAGTCTTGAAAAGTTCCTTGTGCTTAACTTACAAGCTGTTCTTTTAGCATTAATCTGCAGATATAAAAATACGCTTTCATTGAAACAAATGTCATTTTCATATAAAATGCGTATTACTAAAACTAAGTGTACAAAGCCACAACTGTAAAGAGTGAAAACCCAATTACAAATAACACTAAGCAGCCACACACAAGTTAACTTTAACAGTGGAGGAATTAAACATTACCAGTCTTGGGAGTGCCATGCCAGTAACGGAGCATACAAGTTTGACAGTCTGCCCATAATGAATGTAGCCATCTCTCACCGTGAATTCTTCTCCTTCCGATTCATCATCATCCACTGCATGAAAAAGGAAGTTCCACATTACTTGCTTAAATAAATGTTTTTCTCAGTACGAGGAACACTTAATACCACACTACTACATCAAATATACATTTGGTAACAAAACAAATCTGTGCTTGGGCAATTAATAAGGAAGAAAAACAAAGGACTTTTTTTGTGCGGGTGGAGGGAGGGAAGTTAAAAATATATATTCCTTCATTTTTACTTACAGAGGTGAATGTAAAATGCTCCCCACTGTTGTGAACTGGCATGGAAATTACCGCCTTCTACGTGCAAATATCTGGTGCTAACTGTTTGGGATCGAAGTCTATTAAATAGTGCCACTTTTGTCCCTGATGCAATACATACTGCAAGGAATACATACAGACTTCAGATTATAAAATTACTTCGTTATTATTACAAAGAAAAGTAAGAAGTCACAAATACAATAAAATAAGTCGATGAATATTGGAAATCAATAAATAATTCTCAATTACTGATTGAATTATCTGATACTTATATTTGTGACAGACCAAAAAGAGTTACAAAATTATAAGAGGGAAACATATAGAGGCTGTTCTCCAAAGACATGCTAGTTCACTAAATTCTGCTACTTGGCCAAATGGGCCAGTGCTTGCCAGCTGAAAATTCTCCTTTCACAGCTTTCAAATAATTGATTATTTGAACAGAAGCATTAGCTTACCCTTGAGAAATATTTAAGACTACTCTCAGTGGTCAATGCATTTGAAGTATAAAGAAAAATTATTCTTACAAATCACAACCAATTGAAATGAAAACAGACAAATACAGAAAATTGTAACCATGCAACTTGAAATTTTCTCAGATCTGAACTTTCTCATGACTCAAGAGGGCGAAAGGCTGTCTGCGCCCCTAAAAAAATTCAGCTACTATCACTGTCAGCAATACAGGCACGTTTCTTCTACTGTTAATATTTACTACTGAAAACGCTTAGTTCATATTCGCTGCCCATCAAAACTATCTGAACACAAAGTCAACAGTGCATACTCTGAGCCCACGGGCGTAAACTGCACAGCAACAGACCGCCTTTATTCATGTGGCAAGCTAGCAGCCCCGAGATCCACATTCCATAGGAGAATGGGTTCCAGCCCAACACAGGTGGAAGAGCCCTTTAAAGCACTAGTGAAGAGAGAAAAACAAAAAAAATAATGGCATCTCTTGAGGTGCTCCAGTGGTAGCAGGCAAAAACTTCGGAGAAAAAGCAAAAACGCTCCCAATAGCACCAGAGATATCTTCAGTTAAAAAATAGGGCAAGCAAATCAACCTGGGTGAAATATCATCATACAGATTTCTTAACCAATTATTTAAAAGTGACCATGCAAAATATATTAAAAATAAAATCACAAAAATGGCATGAGACAGAAAGAAGGTGGCCGTGACATGAAGAGGTACAGTCTGGGAAACATGGAAGTATTCCTACCACAATCTGAAAGTTATCTCTTCACTACTGATCAAAACATCCTAAGCACCAGATCAAGGCAGCTTAAGGGATTCAACAGCTTAGAAAGCTGAGACAGAGCATTCCTTATGAATTTGCTTATAAGGATTTACTCCTCAGAATAAAGGTTTTGGGTGGATCTTTTGCATTTACTAAATAATTGTGAATGTATAAAACTAGACAGTATAATCAATATAGGAACATTTTAAAATATACTGCTGTGTTTTAATTGAAAGTTTCATATTTTATACTGTTGTCACATCTCAATAGATTAAAAACAAAATGGAGAAAAAATTGCTACAGAAAGAAAAGAACTGTAAAATACTTACAGTCTGCATTTTTCAGCGACTGCTTCTTTTTAGAAGGCTTGGAGATGACTTTGATTCGTTTACTGAGGAACACACCGATGTCATCACTATTGCCATAGAACATTTTTACTGATAGCATGAAGTGCTTTCTCTTGTCTGAATCTGATATGTATAACGTTTTGGCAGTGCAATAATTCTGTGGGTAAAAACATATTATTGTTCCCTTTTTCAAATTAGCTCAGTACAAGGAGCTCCATATGTAATTGTGAATGGAAATGGTGTACCAGTTTCTCAAACAGATCAAAAATTGCTTTCTCCTCTCTTCCCCACTAATAACAACACTTGACTTTTTTTTTCTCTAATATGTACGGAATCCTTCCATATGGAAATCATTTATAAACTACTTTTTAGCTTTGTGAAGTACAGCATCTTACTTCAGTAATTCATTTCCTTACTAAGACCGGAAAGCAGGTGATTACAGACTGTAGCTGTATCAAAGCCACATCTGAGAGGGTAAGAGCACCACTAAAAGTTACATTCAAGTACGGCTATAAAGTCAGTACAGCAGATATGCACAAGAAACTGCTTGTGCAAAAACAAACAAACCAACAACAAAACAACCAAAAAACACAAATGAAACACCACCAGCACCACCACCAAACATTAAACCAAGCTTTCCTTGAAAGCATTGGAGAGGATTGAGTTTTGAAGTCATTGGAAAGTTACAAAGAGCTAAATGCTTAAGCTAGGCAACAAGAAGAGATTAAAGACCTCCAGAAAGACTTCAGCTATCTTTCATTTCAAGAAACAAGTATATACAAGAGCAGTGTCCACCTTGGTATAACAAACATGATTCTGAGAAGTTATACTAAAAAATCTTTAAGCCATACAACCTGTAGTAGGATTGTGTGAAACCACGTGCTCTAAGCTGTAAGGCAGACATGGCATGTATTCTGTGACAACTCCCACAGTTAGTAATTGCTCATGGAAGTAACAAGTCAGTTTTCAGAACCATTCAAAGAATCTGTTCAAATCCAAATAATCTAATCCGTGGTGACCAACTTGGTGACCTTGACCTTCCACGGCAGCAACATGAAGAGTAAACACAATATGGAATTTAGATGGATTCCATTATATATTTGGAAGAAAAGAAAAAACAACACACATGCAGTAACGCATAAAACATTTCTAAGGAGATGGTGCTGCAAATAAAATGTAGTAATCAGCTAGGTAATATTGCATAATTAGACAACCAGATAAAATGAGCTCTTACGTGCTGCCAGATTTACTCCAGTTGTTTAAGTCACCACAAATATGTTAAAAAAATCTGGTAGGAATTTATGTTACTCTATAGTACTCTGTACTATACATATAAAGCAGCACTTAAAATGTTCTTTTATGCAAAGGAATTTAATGACTACTTCAGCAGCAGGTGTTGTTCAGATGCTTCCTTGATATTATCCATTTGTGCAAACCAGTAAGACAGACAAGGAGTTTTGGCAAACAACCTTACTTCAGTTAACCACTGAGGCCTACCAAATAACCTAACAGAACTGAGTGGAGACCCTACAGATGAAAAGTTAGCACCATGCTGTAATTCCATGAGCCACATCCATTGACTCCATCGTCTTGTATATCTTCTAGGCTTTTTTTTGAATGACTCATGTAGTATCTGCTACAGAATAGCTGAAATTACAATAAGCCAATGCATGCCCTGAAAGACACTGCATAGTTATAACATCCTTTGTGGAGGTCTTAATGCATTATTACACTCCTACCTTTCCTTCCAAGTTCAGCTGCTGCATTTCTTGGTCACTGTTTCCTATTCCAATGAAGGCGCAGGGTTGTGACTCTTGCTCAGTGCAACCATCCCGTTCCATTTGCTCTTTTTTTTTCTTCCATCCACTGCCCATAAGATACACACACGGAGGGGGACAAAAGAACCTGAAAATGAAAAACATATTGCAAGATTACATCCAATTTTTAAGGAAAAAATAAAAACAAGCATTCAAACTGTTATAGACCCAAAGCTTTCTCAGTCAATCTGGATGTTCATTGCACTTTATTATCTGTATGCTTTTCATTAGCCTTAAAGATTTTCTGAAACACAAATCGAAAAAAGAGAAAAAGGAAGGAAAAACAGCATTAGATGCCCTGTCACTGAGCATGTTTCCATTTCAAGGAAATAGAAAAGAAACTCCATCTCTGTAAAATAAAAGCATTTTTTACCCTCACAAAAAGGAAATTCTCCTAAAGAAAGCAGAAGTCTTCCAAGTGATGACAATGTTTTGCTTTTGTAATCAACATGATTAAGACACATCAGTACCACCAAGTAATTTAATGAAAATCTAGCAACTGCAATTTTTAAATATTTAGGCTTTTATCATTAGCAAAGGAAAAGGAGGGAGTCTATTCTGTTCAAACACAAATTTATTTTCTGTTTATAAACAAATCAGGTGCCTTGAGCAGTAATTGTAAGGTATGGTATACTCTTTAGCAGTCATTCTAGATGTTATTTTAAAGCAAAAACTTCAAAAGAAAAACATCTTAATGCCATGTATCAGCCTCGAAGCTTCCGCAGCCTTAAGTGCTTTTGGATTTAGTTTAACCTAGAGGTGAGGTGTTTTTAACATTATTTAATTAAAACCAAAGTTGAAAAAGCGAAAGAATTATTAGCATACCATAATTATAAAAAAACTAAAGAGGCACGAAAGGAAAGGAAAACTGAAAAAGTTTCTTATTCCATTTATTTGACACTGAAGTGTAGTACTTAATTTGGCAATTCTGACATTCAATGACATTTCCTACTGTATTCCTGTAAGTAGGTACGTTTTCAAAATGTGATCTGGAACAACTGAATTCATGGATAAATTCTTTAAACACTACATAAGCTTTTATTAGCATAAATCAGCTTTATTTTGAAAATTAAATTTAATAAACTTCAGCACTTCAGTCCATCAGCACAATTATCTTTCAAAGACATAAGAAGCTTTTTTAAGTAACAGATTTCTAAAAAGAGGAAACCAAAATCCTGACTTAACAGTCATAATAAAAACACAAACAGTAAAAATCCATAGAAGTAAATGCAAAGACTGATAATCATTTCAGTTAGGGCACATAGCCAATATTTATTCCTTGTTCATAAAACAAAAAATAGTTTTTAAAGATTCTACTGCCATTCAAAGTTTCAGTGGTTCTGATAACCAGCAAAAATAGACACTTGCAGGCAAACACCAAGTGATCTTGAAAAATTTTCACTGCTAATTTATTTGGCATTTCAACTTCTCACTCTTTCTAAAACACATCCAAAATGATTATATGTAACATACCACATGGCTTAAATCTCTAAGCAAATCTTTCAAACCACAACACTCTCCATGGTTTGAAAAAAAAGATTGCCTGCAAAATGTTATTTGTAGAAAGTAGACCTCTATATGAGGTCAAAAAAATCTGCATGTTTGAAAAACCCATTAATTTCATTAGTGGAACTGCTCACACAGACTGCTTTTCAAACTTAATTCAGAACCAAATGCTGTATTTCCTCCATTACAATAATCCATTTCACCAGAGATGTACCATAACAATTATTTGTTCCTTTTATTGCCTTCACACTGTTGTCAAGGATATAAATGGAATATAAAATTAACTATGGAATTATGAGTTAATGGAAATCTGTTTGTAGAATTGAGCTACTCAAAGTTCACCAAACAATATTTTTTCATGTGCTTATTGCATCAGTGTTAACTATTTGCATTTGATTCTCTGGAGGTAACTATGAGCCAGATGAAGGCTCTGGGATTTTTTTTCCTTCCAATTGAACATGCAGAACACAGAACCAACACAACAGGTAGCAACTTGCCAATTTGCAAAACAGATGTTTCCTGACGACTCAGGAACCTGAAAACCTACACAACAAACTAGCTCAAAAATAAAATGTAACACTTCTCCAGCAGTCACACAAGACAATAATTTCAGTAAAGCAGTCATGAAGTAAAATGCTGGAGTTTATAGTTATCTGACACCAGAATGCATTACTTTACTGCTGTAAGCACAGAAGTTGAAAACAACCTCAAACAGAAACAGTAAATAGAAATAACTGTTTCTTATGAAACAGCATATAACGTACACCACTTCCTTAGCTTATTACATGTCTTTTTCTCATTTTTTGCTACCTGACATCTGTTCCTGGTTTCTTAATGACAATGCTGACTATCTCTGCAGGACATATTTAACATCCTTATGGAAATCTCTTACACATTTACCCAAGTATTTCTCTTCCTACTACAAAATTTCGATCACCAGACCAGTAATGCATTCCCTGCTTTTCACCTGCACTCATTTCATAAATTAGATCAGCACAGACTATGTCACCTAATTTCTCTCAAATGCTCATCTACCAAATAGGAAAGACAATCTTAAGAGAATTTACATTTGCAATGGAAAGTACACAATGACAATGGCTAAAGTAACAATAAAGTACCCAAGTGTAAGGTGTTTACAGAAACAACATAATTCATATCACTTTTTTCAGCCCATACCTAGATGCAAATACCACAGTTATTGCTAAAAACCCTTTTTTGAAGATCAGCTACTGATGGCTGAAAATTCTGGGTAGTTGTAGGAAAACAGGGAAAAAAACCCCAAAAAGCTAGCACAGTGATTATGGCTATATTATTATACTCATTGTGTCATGTGTAGGAGGCTTACTTTTTTCTTTGAGAACTTGGAAGTAAGAGGTGCAGCAGTTCGAGATAAAATCTTGTATTTATATTACTGGTTAGAAGACAAAAAAATCCCAAACTTCTTATCTTACCGATTTTCGACTTTATTCTAAATCAAGACCTCTACGTACCTACAGCCACGAGGTGGCAGTAAAGACCCATAAGAAACAAGTTTTTCATCTTTACAAACAAAAACAGAGAAAAACACTGGAAGATTCCAAACAAAGATTACCAAACAAAGAAAGAAACTCTCACTTAGACCATTTCATGACAGGCTAAACCTACAAAACAAGAAAAGAGCGAGTTATCACAGTCTGAACAACCTTCCTTCTCCATCACTTTGTACTTATAACCACAAGCACTCATGTATAGAAAAGGTTAATTATAAACTTCCTTTTCAACAGGTTTCCAAGTTTGAATTGGGTATTAAAGGGTATTAAATAATGTGACTTAGGTACATTTAAAATAACTATTAGAGAAAGTTTCTCATTAATAAAACATTTTCCACGTAAACAGGATTATAAACACTCACAAGTTGGCTTTCAGATACCCATGAAGAGGTTTAAAAAATAAAAAAAAATCACCTCCCCAAAACAGCCCATGTAGGTAATTTCCAGTAATGGTGATGGGAAAAATGGTAGGACAATGTTTGGTGGAACAAATGAAACTATTCCTCCTTCAACTTTTGATTTACAGAGCCTACCTCTTTTTTCTTTAACCACAAACTAAAATAAGACTGAGTGGGAGGCAAAAATTCTTCTGAAGTATTAATCTGACCTACAGTACGAAGAAAATGATAGGTGCTAAGGGGAAAGGCAGCTGCCTCTGGTTGCTCTGAGTTTGGTCAGAATTTTTAGGACAAGAAGTAAGAGTGGAAAATCATGAAGGATGCAACTGCCTATCAGGATTTATAACATCTTCTAACTTTTCTCTGTGCTACAAGTGGACTGATAACTATTTAATCAGCAGTAAAGCAAAAAAGTACATTTGTCCATAAGGTAAACATCCAACAACTTGATTTGAAAACCACAAATATCTATTAGGGATGAACTCTGTAAGCTCCTCCATTAATCAAGTATAGCAACCAGGAATATCATAGACAAAACGCGCTCTGTGTCTGTTGGTGTTTCTGGACAAGAGCTGATTCATTATCTCCTATTTGCTGATTTAAAACACAATGGTTGACAGACTGAGCCAGGAAAACACTTTTGGATACCGGGTCTCTAAAAATACTTCATATATTTAATGACAACATGTACTCAGTGCTCTTGTGAACTCCTAGTTTACCTTACGTACAATGCTTTCCTTACACAACTTCCAATGATTTGTAACTGATGTAATAAAATGACAAGTAGTTGATGTTGTCATCAATGGGTAGTTGATGATGTTATCAACTAAGCTGATGTTGTGACTGATGTTAGTCAGGAAGGATCAGGGGATCTACCTCCAACCAAGGAGGAAAGGGCTTCCACAGAGTGCTCTCTTTCAGGGGCCTAATTTCATAGATAACTTAGCCTAGAAAAGGCCACAGCATTATCAACCTCACGTTAAGCCTAAGCTTAGAAACTCAGTAAACAAAAGCAAGCTGGTACTCCTTTTTTTCCTAACAGATCCAGTCCATCAGACCGGAAAGTGAATGTTTTTCCACGGCAAGAACACCAAGCTGAGGTATCTAAGGATGCTCTCTTTTATTCCAAATGACTTCAAGGGAAAAACAAAATAATCTCTAACGGTTTCCGAGCCCTAACTGTAACAAGCAAAAGTGGAATAGATTTGAGTCTTTGGCACCACCTGGAATATTGTTTTTAATTAGACAATCACCAAGGAGAGAAAAACATTCTCCCAGCCCCTTCAGTCAAATAAAGCCAATAAATAAAGAGAAAATATGGTATATTAGTAGAGAAGCTACCCTTATTGAACTTACCAAGGCTGTAAAGGATAGCAAGCAAACTAAAATCAGCTCATGCCTTTCCCAGCTACTTCCGATATAGACAGTTCTACTTTCAAACCACAGGATTCTGCTCACAAAGGTTAGCTTTTTCAACATATCCAAGACCCTGCAAGGGGTCCAGAGGAAGGCCATGAAGATGACCAGAGGGCTGGAGCACCTCTCATACAAAGACATGCTGAAGGAGCTGGACTTGTGGGGATACCTCATTGTGGACTTTCAATATTTACAATGAAATTATAAACAGGAAGGAAATACATTTGATACAAGGGTAGGCAGGGACAGGGAAAGGGGGAATGGTTTTAAACCCCGTTCCTGGAGGTATTCAAAGCCAGGTTTGACAGGGGCAAGCTGATCTAGTTCTTGATCTAGTGGTTGGCAATCCTGCCCGCAGCAAGGGGCTTGAAAATGTGATGAGCCCTTCCAACCCAAGCCATTCTATGATAAGACATTCTTGAGGTTGTCTTTCAGATAACTGTACCTACCCCCTTGTCTCTTTTAACTTCACGGGTGACAACAGCAGGGAAGATAGTTCTTTGTACCAGTCAGTCAGTTTGGAGTCAGTCAAGGCAGAATTTGTTTGTCAATTACCAAAATTATTTTGAGCATGATAACACTCAGTCATCTTTCTTTCTTAGGAAAGCAGAATGAACTGACAATATCCATTAAAAAAAAAGAAACATATGAAACATAACTAGGTGCTAGAATGCTAAGGATAAGGCAGTGGAGCCACAGGGTAAGCACTAGAAAAGACTATGCTCTCAACAACACAGTGCAGGGAGGAAAATATTTGAGCAGAAATTGCAGAAGCTCCTTCACTAACAGCAAGACGCAGCTAGAACATTCTCAAGGCTAATCAGCAGTAAGCATTTTTTTAACGCTGAGTAGCATACAACAAGTACCAATGTGGCTCACAACCTTTGACAAACTACACCTTGGAATCCAAAGCACTTCAGTCCTTCAAACTGTTGAATGTTCGTGCTGTTCAAACTGTGACCCTTATACTAGCAGGATAACCGCTGAGAGAGAAATCTCAGCCAACAGTAAGCACACATGAGTGGGAGAACACAAGCACACGTCAAACACCTACACTCATTAGGTCTAAAGGTGACCTGAGCGCCTCTATCAGATGAATGCCTCTGAAAAATGACAGCCGCCCAGCAGGAAGTATTAGACAAAAATTCTTGAATTCAGCTCAAGGCCAGCAATGGGCTTCTTACCACCGAATTTCTTAATTCAACTAAACAACATTAACTTAGGAAAGAGCAAGGCTAACAAGGTGCACTCAAAGAACCATCCCTTCACTAGCACACCATTAATTAGGGACAAGTATCAGGAGCATTCTCAATCTAACAGGAAATCTTCACTTAAGTTTAAACTACACCATACTGTGCTAGATCTGTACAGGTTACAGAGAGTTTTCAGAGTAATTCACTTTATATCCTTAAAAACGCAGGAAAACCATTATTGTGCTGGACTTTTGAACTGTGCCAAGCGAAGTTTAATATGATAAATATTTTCCATCATCTCCCAGTCTGCAAAATTTAAAGAGTGGAACAGAAGTTGGAAAGTAGTTTCAGACTCCGTATTTACTTACAGGATACATTACTTCAGAAAGAATGCCTTTTGTGACTTAATGCTTGCTTACAAAGAGAGCACAACATAACTTACTCTCTATGGATCAAAACTTAACCAGAATATATGCATGCCATACTTTGGAAAACCTGGAATTCTGCCTGTTAGACGGGTAGGTTCATCTATAGAGATGAATACAAAATAACTCACTTCATAAAAGAAAAGACATTTTTAGCATAAAAAGGGTGAAAATCTGATGAATCAGTTGAATAAAGTAGCCTTAAAATTTTACCAGATCTTCTCAGTCCAGCAATATGAAAAACCAAAGGAACTTTCTGCTACAAATATAACAAGCAATAAAAAAAAAAGCAGCTGATCAATCAGTTGCACAAAGTGCATACCTTGGGGGTGCACAAGGATGCAAACAGTAACTAGCATTCCTGTTTATGCTGAGCATCAGATAACAGGATGACAATACTCACGGTAACAGTCAAAGAGCTATCAGAACTGTAGCAGAAATTGAAAAAAGAATTCTCAGCATGTATTCCAAACATCTATTCCATCTCCGTACCAGAACGGCGATCAGGTCATCATTATATTATAACAAATACCTGCTTTCCTGACTTATTTTGCAAAGCTACGAAACCCTCTAAATTTCGTTGATGTGCTTCTTTTTCTGAGCAGTGAATCTAAGATACCTCTTGTGAACAAACACTGGCGCAAATTTAGGCAACTAAATTGTGCTTCATGAAATTGGAGGCAGTAAAAATGCCTCATTTTAGTTTTCAAGCAGTGAAAAGCTAACTACTAATTTACAGAGTTATCAATACTTGAAAATTTAGGCAATAAGTGTGTCAAAGTGACTACAGCAGCATCAAATGAGTATGCACATTATTTTAGGCAATGGGAATTCAAGGTAGCATTGACTATGAAATCTACATAGGAGTTTCCAAATAGTTAAATATTAGCAAATGTTTTGAGGTTCTTCAGAACATTTGAAGATTTCCAAACTCCAGTGAAACTTTCAATAACGAAAATTAAAAATGCACTTTATCTTTTTATTTTACACCTTCTTTTGATGCAATTTGATTTCTAGAATGATGAAAGACAGGGCAGGTTTGCAAAATGTTCCTGCTCTCATGAACTGCCCTGGTCCCAGAAGAAACAGACTGAAATTACAAACACACTGCTTGGAAATTTGTTTTATCATCATCTGGCCCACATCTCATTTTAGGTGAGTAACATGCTGAAATTATACACAGTGAGTATTAACTATGCCCATCTTTTTCATTCATTCATTCTCATGCCTTCCTGTAGATTCTGTTATTTACCTATTATGCAAATTGTAACATAACAAAACTCAAATCATTTTGAAATTACTTGGGGAAAAAAATCATCCACAAATAGCCACCAACACTCATCATATCCACTCCAGACTTAAAAATGGAAATTTTAAAAATATACATGCTAGGAGTTTTATTTTTTTACTATAAAACGATGAGGAATGGAGAAATCATTTAGGCTTCCTTCTGTTTGTATTTCTCTTCCCTCCAATATTTGATTTAAAGTTAGACAATAAACTGAGATCATCATCAAGCTAGTCTGCAAAAAAAAAAAAAAAGTTCAATTATGCCTTCAATCATCACAACAGGTTCTTTCTGCTCTTCAAGATGATGCCTATAATTACAAAATCCAACCAGTGAAAGACTAGACAAGCAGCTGTATGGTGTACAGTTCTACTACTGAGATGGGACATAAAGAAAGGACCCAGCTTAGGTTTTCAGTTATCCCTTTCAGAAAACAACAAAATAAGTAAGAACTTCCTTGAAAATCACATCACGGAATCAAAGAATTGCAAAGGGTGGAAAGGGCCTCAAGAGACCAAGTCCAATCCCAATGCTAAGGTAGGTACCCTACAATAGGTCACAAAGGTAGGCATCTAGATGGGTCTTGAATATCTCCATAGAAGGAGACTCCACAACCTCACTGGGCAACCACTGTTCCAATGTTCCATCACCCTTACCATAAAGAAGTTCTTCCATCTGTTTGTATGGAATTTCCTATGTTCAAGTTTTAGGCCATTACTCCTTGTCCTATTGCTATACACCAACAAGAAGAGCCTGGCCTCATCCATTTGCCTCCCCCCTTCCTTTAAGTATTTATAAACACTGATCAGATCCTGTCGTCTTTCCCCCAGACTGAAAAGACCCAGGTTACTCAGTCTTCCCTCATATGAGAGATATATGAGAAATGCTCCAGGACCTTTATCATCTTTGCAGTCCTCTCTTCGACTCCTTCTAGGAGATCCCTGTCTTTTTTTTTTTTTCTTCAACTGGAGAGCCAAGAACTGGACACAGTATTCTAAACATGGCCTCACAAGAGCAGAGTAGAGGGGGATGATCACCTCCCTCAACCTGCTGGCCATGCTCTTTTCAATGCATCCCAGATCCATCAAAGCACCATTACAGCCATTTCAGTCCAATGGAAGAAAAAACAGCCACAGATAGAGAATCTGTAGGCAGAATCAGGCATAGCTAAGTTGAATGCCACAATTATGTACTGTGCTGCAAGCCTGTAGCATTTATCTGGACATCTTTCGTTTCATTTAATCTTTTTCTGACTATAGCACAACCTGAGGAATTATATAATGGACATCAGACCACACATTTCAGTTTCCCTAGCTTGGAATTGTGAATGGATGTCAGAGAGAGACTTACCTTTTTTCGTTTCCATATGATTTCTGAGCAACTTTTGCATGGAGTATTAGTACTGTTTGATCGCCTCGCTCCTTAAGGTAATTTCGCATTGCTTCCCTAAAAATTAAAAGACAAAATAAGCTTTGAAAGTTCTTTTGGTTTTATTTATAATTACAGTAACTCAAGGTCAGCTTTAGGACAAATCAAAAAACAAAAAATTCACCTGGAATTTAAAAAAAAAGACAACTGTCAGTATATTAATAAGTTCAAGTTAGATGTGAGGTTGTTTTTTTTTTCCTAAGACAGTTGCTTCCTTTCACTCTGCAATTATCATGTATCAAGACAGCACCACAGCAGTGGTTTGTGGTCATTTATACTTACCACTACATTTTTCAGAAAAAAAATTCTGACATAAAATCATTTCAATGTCCTTCACTACACCACTCTCAATGTCTGACTTGATAAAATGCCGTGCTATGAATACTTGGTTAGAACATACTTTCTGTATTGGCTGAACAGAAAATATTGTGGGGTTTTTTGCCTTTTTTTTTTTTTGTAAACATTATTAACTGAATTAATGCTTTTGTCATCCGTGTCAGTTTTCTTTCAGTTATGAAGTAAAAGTTTAAATTCTTCATTTTTTGATCTAGATTTCTAGAGAAAGGTTTTGATTTCTTGCATACAATCAAGTAAAAAAAAGAGATTTTTCTATCATTCATCATCATTGTATGATGACAGAAGTCATATAAAAGCTATAATTACATCAGACACACCAAAAGACATTCCTTGAGAGAAATAAGAGAACAATACGCCCTATCATTCTTCCATATATCAATCTAACTGTTCACAAAGTACCATGCCAAATTCAACACCCTGGGGTTTAGCTGTGTAAGAGCGCTGACAGATTATTTTTAAGTCCCTGGAGGAGCCTTTTGCAGGTTGAATGCCCATCAGCACACTCATCTTCAAAGTTACCAACCATAGAAACAAACTCTGAATTTAACAGGAAGTCATAAAGAGATTAAACCTTACAGAAGAGGAATTTTTATTTTTTTTTGCAAGCTGCACCCAACGGTTGAATTCCCTTTAGAGAGGTCAGAAACACCACAATAAACCAATGTTTTGGAGTCTTTGTAAAACTTTTCCAGCGAAAAATCCCAGTAGATAAAAACAAAATTTTTTTCCAGAAGAAACCCCCTACAGTTTCACAGAGGAAAACAAGTAGATGTGCTCAATTTTGGGAGCCTCACTGCAAGAAAGACATTGATGCTCTGGAGCATGTCCAGAGAAGGGCAATTAAGCTGGTAAGGGGTCTGGAGCAGAGGCATTAAGGGGACTGAGGAAGCTGTGATTGTTCAGCCTGAACAAGAGGAAGCTCGGGGGAGACCTTATCAATCTCTACAACTACCTGGAGATTGTAGTGGGCTGAGGGTAGGCCTCTTCTCTCACGTAAACAGTGATAGAACTAGAGGGAATGGCCTCATGCTGCAATAGGGGAGATTCAGGCTGGACATGAAGAAATACTACTTTCCCAAAAGAGCGGTCAGGCACCGGAATGGGCTGCCCAGGGAAGTGGTGGAGTCACGACCCTGGAGGTGTTCAAGGAATGTTCAGGTGTTGTGCTGAGGGACAAGGGTTAGTGAGCATTATTGGTAATCAGTGGATGGTTGGAGTGGATGATCTTGTAGGTCTTTTCCAACCTTGGTGATTCTATGAGAATCATAGAATCATGAGGGAGACAAAGGAAGAAATGACAGCCCAGCTTTGCTAATGATGCTCTGTAAACTCTTGCATTGGCCACATCTGCCTAAGATCTGGATCAGTGCACTAGATTCTTTGTGAGCAGGGGAATATAGGAGCAAAGATCTCAAAGTTGGATTAACTTGACCTATTTACACTTAACATTGGTAAAACTGATGTTCATCCATGACAGCATAAATTACAAGAACTGCCTTAAACTATATAGACACATTATTTACAATCACTGTATACAAATGTTTTAAGGCATGAAATGTATTTCATTGTGAAGTTATTCTTATTTAACATATTAGCTGCATTTAAGTAGGTTAGCAACTTTTCATCTAAGAATTTGAAATTTTCTATGAATAACACAGTCACACTAAATAACAACTGTCATATTAAAAACCTTTGGCTTGACTACCATTAAACAGCAGCTCAAAGCCTGCAATCCACTCACTAAAATGCTAGGTGCTACCTAATGTTTCTTTAGCACTGCGCTAGGAACAAATACTGCCTCTTCTATTAATGTGTTGCTACAACATATCTGTACAATCTGAGCTCCTAAGAGAACCAGGAATGTTCCCCTCCAACTCCTCCCACTGATAAAAGAAAAATACCACAATTCTCACAAGGTTTCTTTTGTTATTAAATGACAAACCTCTCCAGAAAGGTTCTACTCTTGCAATTTACATCTTATCGCAAAAACAACTTGCTCAGTATGAACGGAAGTAGTATTTTTATTGTCAAGGAACTTGTACAACAAAATGAAAAAGAAAGTTTCAGCATTTTCTAAGAAGTACATGCCTGAAAAAATACATCCCATGTTACACTGGAGAGTTAGCATGAGGCTGAATACATTACAAGGTTGACAGGACTGCCTAAACAAAAAAGCAAACTAATTTCACAATAATTGAACTAAATGCCTTCAAGGGTTTACACCTTTTTTTTTTTTTTTTTTTAAAGCATTACAGAAAAATTGCACTCTTAAAAATGGATGACTCCTATTTTTAGCATTTTTCTCTTCAAGAGAAAAAAAACTTAGGCTGCTTTTGCTTCTAGCTCTTCTTTATCAGTACAAAGTTTATATGTTACTGCTTTCAAGGGTGGCAAGTAGCTCCTAGATGCATATCCTTTGAGAGTAGGAAAATCTACCTGGCATATCTAATAGCTAAGATCCTGCACATAAAAGAGTTCCTACACTAACTAATCAAACTCATGACAATGTAAGTTAAATGACATGACTAGATAGTCGATTTTGTCATTCTTGTTAAATCACAGAAGGTAAATTTAATCATTAACTTCAGGGTGACACCAACAGCTGTTAATGCTCAAAATAAAAATTGATTTATGACTTATACCAGTATGTTTAAATATCCCTGAAAATAGTTAGGTCAATCGCTTTTAAGTCAGTACAGAACTGTTTTGTATTGAAATCAAGTTTAATAATCACACAAGCTAGCCTGAAGCTTATTCAGAAAGGCAACGAGAAATATGCTTATGTTTTCCTGCCACACTTTACATAAATATCATAATTTGATTGGACAAAGAGAAATGGTTTCAAACTAAGAGAGAGGAGATTTAGAATTGATAAAAGGAAAAAGCTTTTTAGAATGAGGGTAACATAGCACTGGTACAGGTTGCTGAGAGCAGTGGCAGATGTTCCATCACCAGAGACATTCAAGATCAGGCTGGAAGGGGCTCTGAGCAACCTGAAGACCAAGTTTTAGACCGGTAGGTGTCCCTGTTTGTTGCAAGGACTTGGGCCAGAAGACTTTCAAGGGTCCCTTCCAACTCAAATGACTCTGCGGTTCTGTGATTTCATTCAGTAAGATGTAGGCCAGACAAACAATCAGCTTCCACGTTCCTATACAGCAATACTATCACACCAAACAAAAAAACTGTGAATGTTACACACTGCAGAGGATTTGAAACACAGTAGCTGCTTTTGATGGGCAGTTTGTGGCACAGAACAGTAGATGTTAGCGCAGACTGTATTATTACAGTTTGATAAATTCTGGCAGCATGTAGTACAAATGCTCCTCAAACAGCCGAGGAGCGGTTGAGGCACACTATTCCACAGCCTCTTTGATCTGATGATGGTACTATATTCAACTTATCTCTGTTTAGGCTTTACCAAAAACTGGTTAAGACCACTCCTTGACAGCACTGAGTTAATTTTGCCCATACCTGGAGCATGACAGCACTGAGATAATAGCTGAATTTTGGCAGTAAAGAATCCATTTTGTATGGCCTCACAAATTACTTTTACCCAGTAAAAGATATCCAGCTCATTCCTGGATATTTTAAACTAAGCAGATTCACATCCAACAGAATGATCTATAATAACTGACACGTGAATTCAACACAATTTAAAAAAAAAAAAAAAAGGCATTTTGATTATCATATTAAACTACTGACTCTTCAAATTTTTAATTCTGGCTGCTGACTGCATACAACGATTACATTTTTTTCTCAGAAGCTTTCACATTTTAAACTGTAGGATAAACAATTCACTTTTTTTTTTTTTTTTTTTAACTTGGAAATCCTTTGGGAGATAGAGAAGGTAACTTGAGAATACTCAATCAAAATCAAAAAATGAACTGCTTTAATGCTTACCTGGTGAGCCGCTTCGGTTGAGGTCGCTCTCCAAATTTCCTGAAAAAAGAAGAAGTTGTTAATTTAAAACCAAAATGTTTAGTCATAGTTTTTCAGTGAAACATTAGCCCAATTTTATGATCTCTGACAACATACTGGTGCATTCTCTTTGTAGTTTCCTAGCTAGACTATGCCTCCTTCCAACTGTTTTTCCCACAAAAGCAGAGGCGCTTTTTAATCAGAACAGACAAATTTCCTTGCTGAATATCCACAAATAATAAAAAAAGATTTTGTTTATATTAGTTGTATGCAAAGCAAGTCTTTCATTTATCTTAAAATTATTTTTAAAAATGTCTCCAGCATCTCACTCCTGACTTTTTATTACACTTTCTGCAAATTACTTTTTCTCTAAACTGCTTTCACAAAGTTAAGATATCATAACTATGTAAATAATCAGAAGCTCTTTGCCACAGCATTGACCAGAACAGGCAAAAAGCAATTATCTATAAACAGAAATTAACAGGCCAAACTGACAAGTCGTGGTGAATTCTCCTTATTAGGGTAACTTCTTAGAAATCTGCTTCTTACTACTTCTTATAAAAAAGGATGGCAAAGTATTTCATGCGTGCTCACATAAAATTATACCAAAAAAATCTCTCTGGTGAAACATAGCAAATTATAAGCAAGAAATATCGTGCTATATATTGAATGCTTTTTAGTCATAAAGTGTTTTCAGGCAGCTCTAGTGCTTTTATATCGCTCTTGAGAGAGGCTATGTTCTTTATGCAAGCTTTCTAAAAGTTATCTTACGCTAGTTGAGACTGAGTTCCATCAGACAGACCCATTTTCACAAACAAAAAGAGTCAGGTAAAAGACCTGCAAAAATAAAAAGCAAAGCTGTAGCAGCAGCGTACATCTGCAGTGTACATCTGCTCAACCTGCTAAGGAAGTACAACCACACGCTAAAATGAGGACAAAGAAAAGAGGAAAAAAAAACCAAAACACTTATCAGCTTTAAGACAAACATCTAACAGGCTTAGCTTAACACTTTTCTATCTAAAAATAAACCGGGGCATAAGAGAACGCATCTGCTGCCAGTGCTCATAAATATCGCTGCAACTTGCCCAGCTCTTTGATACGCGGGCGTATCTTTGCCTTTGTGCTTCCAGGATAATGAAAATCCCACCTCTGATATTTCCCTACGCCAGCGCTGGAGGCTCCCCAGGCCAAGAGCTGGGATGGGGAACTTCTCCTTGCATCGTTTAACCATTTGCACAGTCCATCTGCCCTGAATGACTCGATACATTCGACTTTCATTTCAGTAATTCTCCAGATGTGCAAAGCGTAAATACACAGCTCGTGTAATTTTCATTGGTAAGCAAAACACTCTCTGCTAAAAGGCAGTAACAAGAACATTCAGCAGGGTGCAGGATTCTAAGTTATTTTTCATGTCTCAAGAAATCCGCATTGTGGTCCCTCTATACAGAAGAGCTAAATAGAGGACTGAGACAAATTAAGGTTTTTTTTTTTGCTTTTCAGTTTAAATAATAAAATTAAATGCATCTGAACTGACTTAAGCTCTGTTCACATTTTGTTGGTTTATTGCTCACTTATTTGCCTTATTTTAAGCTAAAAGAAAACAACGACAAATTCTTGCCGCACAACTTGTCCAGTAGATCTTAAAATTTAAAATACACAAAAAACATGTACTTCGCATTTTTCTCTGCACCACTGCACTGTCATATTTGTTATGCAGAAAACTAACTAAACATCCCTAACAGCTTGGAACTTTGGCAACAGCATCAGTCACATACGCACGGGCAGGTGCTACAATGAGAAAGTCAGGCTCCCAAATCTTAATGTCTCCTAGCATCTACCTTTTGCAGGCATGCTGACCTTCACCTCCCAGGCACATCAAGAGCCACTGACACCTCCCCCCACCCCCAACTAACAGAAGGTGTGCGCCCCCACCCCTCCACGCCTCTATGGTTCCGTCCTCTCCATAATGTGGGAGCAGTACATATGGCAGAGGATTCATCTCTCTGTGACTCACCGACTAGACAACAGATTACCCTTAAGCTATTCTCTTCAGACAAACAAAACCCCATAGATTAGCTGTCTCACTTTGAGTAGAATGACATTCAATCACTCTGCACCTTTTAATTCGTAAAGAAAGAAAGTTAAGAGGTGCCTACATGGAGCAAAGGAAACAACATGGTACTTGCACCGCAGCCAACAGCTCCAATCCAAGATGAGGACACGAGGACACCTGAAACTGCGTGACACACAGAAACCACAGACAAGACTGCTCATTCTTTAAGGCAACATCTACTCATGTACAGCTCTGGGAGCAGTAGATTAATTCCCCTTGCAAGTACACTAATTGCAGCCTAAAAAAAACTGTACAAACCTACACAGAAACAGAACAGTTGCAATTATTGTAACATAATAAATCCCATCCTCTAAGTACCAACAGGCCCTTTCCTCAGAGACAGCACTGAGTCACACCAGAAATGCACAGGGTCCCCTTCCAGCCCACCAACAGGACCAGAAACCGAGCTCCAATCACTGCATGCATCGCCATCAACCACATGCCAGCTTCCCCCAGCCTGCTCATCCAAACTGAAGTTAATGGCTTCATTCTAATTGCCTTGTGAACACAGGAGCTGCCTGTAGCAATATGAATCTTCTGAACAGATGCAAACTGAGTTCAGTGAATCTTTTGCTACTCTTTCACTGTCCATATGGGGCAAGGTAGAACAGGAGGTAGCTACAAATATTTACTGTGGTTCAATTTTTGACTGTGTAAACTCAGCTTCTACCTCTTCAATAATGTCACCTTACAGAATATCCCCAGTTGGAAGGAAATCACAAGGATCATTGAGTCCAACTCTTGACTACATATAGAACCACCCAAAATTCAAACTTTATGTCTGAGAGTGGTCCAAACACTTCTTGAACTCATGCAGCTTGTTGCCCTGGGGAGCCTGTTTCAGTGGCAAACCACTTTGTGGTGAAAAATCTTTTCCCAATCCCCATTCTGACCCTCCCCTGACACAGCTCCACAACACTCCCTTGGGTCCTGTCACTGCCACCAGGGAGCAGAGATGTTGACCAATCACTGGTCATGGTGCATCCTACCCTTGATATTAATAACCAGCACATTCCTGCACCATCCCACATACTGACGTGAACACAATATATCCCACAGCAGCCATTATATCCAGGATACCAAATTTTTATTCACATTGCATAATGCAAGATAAATAAATAAGACATAAGGCAGGAAGTAGCAGGTATATTACATAGGTTGCTCTAAAAGTAATGCTTCCTATTTATTTCCATGGAAATAACAACAGATACAGTATACATAACAACACACCACTTGAAAGAGCAAATTCTCAGCTATAAAATACTTTTTCAGCAGTCACCTATTAGCTATGGTATTTTTGCCAGCAATCAACAAGAGCCAGTATGTCACACTCATAAAAATCTGCACCAGGGGAAGTGACCCACTGTTTCACAGCTGCAATGACAGTGTTGTTATTAGGAGAACGCTGCCCATGCAATGTCTTTCATCAGCACAGACAGAATACTGAAGGAGTCAAATCCTGGACTGTACAGTGGGTGAGGTAGGACAGTCCAGCCAAGACTGGCAATCTGCTCCATGGTCTTCAAACTGGAACACAGCCTGGCATTACTGTGTTGTAATAAGGGTTGTCTTTTTTTCTCTGGCCTGACTCTGGAAGTTCGAGTCTTCAGCTTAGCCAGCACTGTGATGCAGTCAAAGTTGACAGTTGTTCAGCTACCAGGAAATCCAAAAGAATCACCACTTTCCTACCCAAAAGACAGTGCTTTACCTGCCAAGGGCTACCTTGAACTTTCTCTTCAATGGGGAATTCAAATGTCCCACTCCATGGACTGCTGTTTTGACTCAGGCTTGTAGAGGTAATAGTATGTCTCATTACTGATAGTGACACGAAACTGGAAACTGGTTTAATAGGTCCAGACAGATATGCATAGGGTGTTTTCTCAGTCCCTGTGTAAGTATTCATGGGATCAGGCATAAAGAGCTTGTGATATTTCAATGTCGCTATCTTGTTTCAACAAACAGAAGCCAACACTCAGCTCATACAAAGCTGCCTGATCACACACCACCTATACACATCAATGAGCTGATCAAGACACTCTTCATTTTGTGGCACGAGTGACCATCAAGAACATGATTTGTTCTATGCATTGCTCTCACCACTGCTGAAATGCACCACCCATCATCTCACTGTTCATCCGTTACTGGGTCTCCATAAACACTCAGCAAGAAATGATGAATGTCAGTCAGTGCCAATTTTTCCACACAGCAGAATTCAATGACGCACCTTGGCTTCATACACACCTGTGTATCAGTTGCCACAGGTCAGACTGCCCCCTGCTGCCATCTGTCACACAGCAACAAAATGTAATGGAATATTGGTGGGAAGGTTCAACCTCTACTGTCATAACACCAATATCTGCCTCTGGCATTGTCAGCCAACGTCATAAGACAGGAGGCATTATGTTCAGACTGTCAGAGCAGCTCTCACGCATTTCATTGTTCATCTGGTTTGCTCTTTCCATACATTTTCAATTTGCTATAGATACTTGTATTAACAATACAACCAGAAGAGAAAAAAACCACCAGCAACTGCCATGCAGAGGGCTTTTTTATTTTGTGTTGCTAAGGATTTGCAAGCACAAGAAACACATTATCAGCAGTTTGGTGCTAAATGACAGACACTGTACAGCTATGACTGCCTCTATTTCAACCTTTCATATGTGACTGGCGTGTTAAAACACCAGTTCAGTTATTTCAAGGGTATCTGACAAACTTGGCAGCAATTGCAATATATTCCTTATTTTCGATTTTTCTTGGATTTCACTCTTCTGGGATTTCTTTTTATATTTAACACTACTCTTACTCCTCTTCGCCTGCAACTTGAAAATATGCAGATTGATTGTTAAAAAAATATGCAGGAAACTACAAATATATATTTTTTCTTCAGGTGGTCATTAAACAAGCAAAA